CCCCAGCATCACAGAGAGGAAATAAGGTGACACTGACCCCTCCTCCTATTTTTCAAGGTGACTTTTCCAATTTATTTTATTCCGAGTAGGAATGTCTGGAAAAATTCATGTCTTCGATGTACTTTATAATCTTCGGAATTCTGCTAGATTTCGCTCCTAAAATGCATAAAATCGCAATTCAGGGACCCTAAATTTCAAAATTTTCCGGACCCCGGACCCTCCAAGACGGTCTCACGCCTTCGGCGTGAGGTCCCCCCCCCCTCCTCCCGCAAAATTAAGGTTTGACTAAGCCACTGGTTATAGCTGTACGATTATAGCTACAAAGAGTTGAAGTTATTGTTTAAAGTAAAATATAGCTGAAGTTAATAAATTAAAGTTTTACAAAATCTCTCTTCAGACTCGCACGTTCGCCAAGGCTTTCCTGTCCCCCCCCCCCTCCCCCAGTGAAAATTCCTTTAAATAGGCACTGATCATCAGTACTGGCACTGAATGACATGTCGCATATTATCTGATATGCTCTCCGACATCGAGTCCAATATTTCTTCTCCTAATCGTTGCAGAGCAATAAATTTCACATCGCCTAATAGTATGAACGTTCCTCTTTCGAAAGAACATGGTTTGTTCACCATTTGGGCAATTCTCGTGACACACGACGAACTTTGTTTATCCAAAATTCAATTTTTGACAGAAGCGTTCACCCGGCTATAATCGTTGCCACGAGAGCGGCTCAGCAACCTGGCCTCCTCGTTCGAAAACACTCAGCCAGGGGGGGGGGGATCTGCACTGGAATGAGTGGCTTTCAAAGCAACACGATAATACACACCAGAGGAGGAATGAGGGTCTTCCCGAAATGCAACGCGCGAATCAGTGCGGCTCATTATTATTCAAGCTATTTATTCTCATCGCGCCGTTCGATTAAAAACTGTTGAAATATATTGCGATTTTTGCCGTGAAGATCTCGTTTTCTCATAGGTATGTTTCGATAACCTTTTTGTTTAGTTATTTAATAAAAGAAGTTTTGACTAATTTTGTATATATATCGCATTTTACTTATGTTAAATTCCCATTGTATTTATGCATGTTTGTCATCCGGTTAGAAAATTCTCTTGATGTCACGTGGGGTCAAGGGTCTGCGTTGAAGGTAAAGGACGGCTTTATACTGTTGATTTTGGCTTTTGTAGTGGTTAGAGAATCATTTACATAAGATGCGTCGACAGCCATTTTGTTTCTTTGGTGTTTTAGTTAACTTCAGTTCAATGGTTCAACCCCACTTGAGTCAGATTACGCTAAAATATCTCCTGATATTGAAACCCAAGAATAGTCTAAAGGGACGAAATCTTCGCTTAGAATGCGTTTATTGTTTACCGAAACAATTTCTCTTGCAGATGAATGACGTCACAGAGTGCATTCGCAGTGAATATTTTCTTCCCAAAGAGAAAGTGAGGTCACGTGTGATGAAGAAAGATGTTTCGATTAACAATAAAAAAGTTATAAAGAAAAGTGGAATATATTATCCATTGGATATATGGTTTATATTGGCTAACTACATTAAACCAGAGCAAATTCACACATTCTCGTGCATATGTCGTGGATCCTACCAGGCTATAACTTCAAGGAAATTTTGGATGGATCTTTATAAACGTTATATCACAGACATCGCTAACTTGCCAGTATGTTTAAAGCCAAATTTTATAGCAAACAAACCTGGACTTAAAACTCGTATAGTACGAGCCCTGTTTTTTGCGTATCCGAATCTGAATAACCGTGTCTTGAGGGAGAATTCATTGGAAATGACGAATGTTGAATTATTACAGCAATTGATTGGGTTACGTTGCCACAATACTTGGTACAAAATTGAAAGCACATTGAAAAGTTCCCACACTTATTTATTTCGATTTCAAGTTGGTGAACCCAAGGACCAAAATTTGTCTCAACCTAACGAGATATCCAGTACAAACGATCATCTAAATCATAACGATGAAGAAGACTATATTGTGTTACAAGTAAAAGTCCAAGATTTCACACGTGTGCAATTCACAGCGGATGCTGCTCTTCTTGATTTCTCGATGGATACAAACTTGACAACTCTAAAAATGGTGTTTGGTTGTTTGGACGAGGACGATGGTAATGAGGAGTGTATTGTTCTGAAGTCAGTCAGTGGAGTGCAACTGCTACGTTGGTGGCACCCGTCTTATCCTCATCGTGATTGAAGTGACACTGATCTTATAAAAACTTTGGACTACCCAGATTGACAATTTTACCAAGATCAATAAACAAATTTGGCTAACGTTGTTTACATCGTTGCTACTGTTGCTACACAATTCACAACTTTAGATAACTAACATGCCTAGTTTCCACTGTTCTAGTTTACAGAAGCGTAGAATAGAACAAAAGTAACTAAGAAAAAAAACACCAAGACTATTAAAATAAACCCGAAAAAACCAAAACTATTGCAATAACGTATTATTAGAATATGAATGCCCTTGTACTAATGCCCGGTTTAGACGCCGTGCTTTTCATGAGCCGAACTTAATACAATGAATTAAGCACATGAGAAGCACGGCGTCTAAATCATTTAAGCACTGCACTTAATATTAAGCACGGCTAAATTAAAAAGTTCGCCTGATTCAGGCGTGCTACACGGCTGAAGCACATGTTGATTTATACTGCCGTGCTTTACATGAGCCGTACCAAATGTATAAATTATGATAAAATAGAACATTTATAGTACGCGTGCGTTGATTGGTCGAGAAGCGCGTTTCTACTTTCTACACGGGAAATTTCCCGCCTAAACTTACAATCGTAAACAAAACAATTTTAATGCAAATTAAGAAACTGTTTAATACAGTCAAAATACAAAAACCTTCCCACTTCCGCTTCTGGCTTGTTTTGTATTTCTGTAATTTGTTCTGTATAGTGATTTAATATCGCTTTATTGGCAAATATCGCGGTAGAATTTCCCTTTCTTTTCTTTATATACGTCAATTTGTAGCAAAGGATACACCTTTCGTTAGACTCTTTGCATAAAAGTTCCGAGATTAGGCTTATAGCGATATTTGCTGATGAAGGCAAAAAGGATTTCTTGCAGTATTTATTGATGGAGCAAAGGTCGGCATTATTACGCAATGAGAATTTGTAAATATATCGAGTCTACTACAAATCTTTTTTTAGTTGGCGACCAATACAGTTATGGAAACACTTGTAGTAGTTTGGGAGAACTCGAATAACGTGGAAAAACTCGCCCTAAGCCTATAGGTCTCGTTTTCCCACACATTATATCCAGGCATTATGCTATGTTTGTAGTAATAAGGCTTTTCAAGAGGCAATTGAAATTTTTAATAACCACAAACCTGTAGACGCTCAGAAATGGCAAGATTGTATGTGAGAAGCCCTTTTTTCTTATTATGAAATGTCACTCGCCCCAGGTTTCGAAGTGAAGCAGCACAAATTATTAAGTACGGCTCATGAAAAGCACGCCTGTCTAAATCAAAATTGAAAGTACGCCTATTTTACTCGAGTAAAATATGAATTAAGTTCGGCTCATGAAAAGCACGGCGTCTAAACCGGGCCTAAATTCAGTGCAAATATGCGTAAAATATTGATAAGATGCATATATTATAAATATTGACTTATTAAGAAATTAAAATATCTTTGTAAAGCGCACGATTTTCTGCTCTTGGAAATTTAAAGCTGCTTCTTAAATTCTAAACGAGAATAACTTTAGGATTTATTACATGAATCTCTCACAAACATTCTTTTAAACAGTCTCTTAAGCACAAAATGTCCTTATATGTCAAGCTAGCTTGTGCGTACAGCAGAGTGCTGAGGCATTCAAATTTTAACAATACGTTATTTCAATAGTTTGGCGTTTTTTTGGACCTCCTGTATAATAATTCTTTTCTCTTGTGGATAATTCTAGGACTTAGTTTCCTTTTTTCTATTGTTAGTTACTATTGTTCTAGTTTGCAGAATTAAGGTATGTGAGTTGTGTAAAGTCATGCATGTGAATTGAATATAAACAAACGTTAGCCAAAATTGTCAACATCATACCTACATTGAAGATCTTGTCATTGTATATCAAGCAAGTTTGCCGTGATCTTGCCAAGATCTTGCAATGTTCTTATCAGGATCATGATAAGATCTACAATCCTGATCGAAAATATTGGCACACTTTGCATAACCAGTGCTGAATTTGACACCCACCGCAATAGGAAAAATATCTATACCCCCTGCACACTCCACAGTCCACACCCCACACCCACACCCCATACAATGTTGTGTGTACGGTGTGTTAGATTGACAAGGATCTACACAACATTGTACGGGTGTGTGAACGTGAAATTGTGAATACAACCCACCGGGCACACGACGTTGTTTCAACGTTGAAATTTGGTAGAAAAAAGGTTGCGACGTCAACAACCTAATATCTACGTTGCTCTGACGTTGTTTTACAAACATTGGTTCAACAGCAGCCAACAGACGTTGAATTAACGTTCATTCATGGTTAAATGTACGACGTCGATTTGTGAACCAATCTCAACGTTGTTTTAACGTGGATTCAACGTTGAATTATGGCTGACGAGA